CCTACTCCTTTAACATCTGGAATTAGAACAGAGTTCCCAAGTGCCAAAGCTAGCACAAGTGAAGGAACCCTGTCCTTGGCAGTGAACTCTTATGGCAGCTCACTCCACGTCATCAATGATCCATCTGAATTAGTGAGCTCTCATACTGTGTTCCTTTTAAAAAAAATGCTTCCCATCTCACGAGTAATGTTACTTAGTGTCAGGGACAGAGCTAGCCGCAAAACAACAAACCCAGCAGATTAAATTTCACCCTAATGAAGACCAAAGCTGTTGGGATATATTTCATTTCTAGCTTCATTCCATTAATTTCTTTAGACTTTATCGGGATATTTTTCACCAAGTATCCCTCAAACATCAGGACCTGGCTGTAAAAGCAACTCCAAAGCTAACACTACTCTACTGGAGTATAATGATGGTTGATGTAAGAAAAATACAGCAATTAACCAAGGGTCAGAATCTGTAATACATGCAAGATTATTTTTTCCATGTCAATGGCAAGCAGTTCAAAACACTTGAGATTCAGCCTCTTTCAGTCCTAGAGATTAAAAGGCAGCGACTGAAAAGAACAGGGCAAAGATTCAATCCCCTTAGAGGGGCACAGCAGGACTGTCAGGACCATACGAAGTGCCTCTGCAGAGACAGTTGCATTGGCATAAATTTCAGGGTTTTGGTAGCAGATGGCTGCAGGAATGACCTGTGTGGGAAGAGGCCAGGAACTGCTCTGCACCACTCCAAACCATTCTAACCTGCTCTGAAATCCTAAACAACACAGTACCCCAGCAATATATCAGACAGCACACAAAGCCTCTGCTCAGCTCTACTCGAGAATGGGCAGCAGTCAGCAGGAGATACGATCTGGGAAGAAGCTCCATGTCAGAGCAGGTACCATCTTTTGAGCAAGTTAAAAAGACGTCAGACTTCAGAAACAGGTTGTAAAATGATGCAGAATAAACTTAAAAAATAAACTCTTTCTCCTCATGTGTTTTGAGAATGAAGAGATTGCTTTTTACATGCTTATCATGATTGGAAAGACCGAGTGTCAATAGCATGAAAACAGTCAATATCTCTGCCTTAAAGAACACTTTAATTAATGAGGACTATATTTGACTGCATGGATTAGATAGAAAACTACATAAACAAGGGTAAAGATTAAACAGAAACAAACTGAAATTGAAAGAAGGCCTCCAGCACAATGGTTGAGGCAGCAAGAAAAGCAAATGATTTGCAACTGGTCACCTCAAAAGTGTCTTAGAATAGATCACTTATTTAAGAGAAACCCACCATTACTAGAGACATGCAGACAAAAAAAAACCTCAAACAATTTACATTTTTGCCTTGGTGTGCACTTCATGCTTTCAATAAAATTCCAGGGTTTGTTCTGTAAAACTTAAAACACCAGAAGATACTGCTTTGAAGTATTTTGTTACAGATTTCCTGGAACTGAGTTAAAGTCTACAGACTATCAATGAGGTTCAAAAAAAGGACACATTTAAAACATTTGCTAACTGTGGTGATTAGCACACACACTTCAGCAATGCAGATTAGTGTTTTGCTCCCTTTCATGTACAATGGAAAAGTATCTCATTACCGGCAAAGAAAGGCAAAACATGGTTTCATAATAACAACAGATAAAACAATCTAGAGAGAATAATTCCTTTGCTGAGTAGCAGCTGGTCAACTCTTTACCAGCTTTAACTTTTATACATATCTAAACTGGAACTCTTTTGAATTATGTTAGTTTTAAAACCTTTAAGCCTTTGAATTATGTCAGTTTTAAACCTGTGAATCTTTAATTATAGCTACGCCATTTCTGACAACTCCAGTTTTCACTTGCTTTTCTCCTTTTGGTTTAACTTCCTCCATTATAACTGTCTTTTCCTATTATGTGAATTTTTTAATTTCATGAGATTTTAATCAGACTCAAACCTGTATTAAATAGCACTAAATATAGGTAATATTATTGTACAAGAATAAAGCTGCAGAATGCTAGCAATAAGAAAACAAAAGTATTTTTGTCCAAATGACAGCAAGAGTCAGATCTGCAGACGTGACGCCTGTGAACTGGGGTAAATACAAGCCCACAACCACTTGTACTATTAGAATCTATAAAAGCCCCAAGGCTTTGGCAGTGGGAGAATGACCTTTTTTTCCCCTCTCTAAGAAAGGGGGTTAGTACATGAGAGGGATAGAGTGTGTCTGCAAGACTGGCTGTTCTGTAATACTTTTGTTAACCGTCATGAGAACAATGCAATTTAACAAACAGCCTAAATTCCAGTAACATGCTTCAATTTAACAGAACAGCAGTGGTGCCAAGCAAAGCTTCAACATTGCAGCTGGCAGACAACTGGAAATACAGACTCATTTTTTTTGTCTCCTCCATGGAATGTGCATCCTTTCCACAAAAGGCTCCAAATTCTAAGATAAGACCATCAGTTATTTTGTTTTCAAACACTAACAGTATTCACATTCAAAATAATGTCAGTGGAATTGCTAGAAAATCAGCTGTAATGAAGAAAATACTAACTTTTATTTTTTTAAGTCTTGAGGGTGTACATTTTTAAAACTTCTCAGAATACACAACACCTTGTGGCCCAAAGTGATCCCCCTCAAAACCAGTAACTCTGAAGCTGTTTACAGGAAGCTCTGCCTAATACAGGAGAAAACATTACCATGGTTTTAATTCTCATTCCACCATGCATCTGCGGTTCTGTTGATCTACTCGGCAACAGGGCTTTTAAACATCTGAAGGATCGTCTTTTGCTTATTCTTAGGTAGCGAACAACTATCGTTTGCATCACTGGTATTAACTACACAATTCAAAACTTTTCCTCCCTTGATGCCAGGTGATTTCATTCGGACTCTGTTAGGGGACTGCCAGTTTTCATTGCAAGAACTTTTCCGAGTCTTGCGGTGATTTGTTTCAGCCTGATGTTTTTGTACCTTTGAGTCTTTCGCCATCTTAGAACTTCCCTTTCTAGCAGTAGAGTCTTTTACAGACTCAGCTGGTTTTGTGCGAAGAAGGTACTCATCTGGAGAGCCCTTTTGTCGATTAGGTGTCCCTTCCTCCTTGTTGATCTGCTTCTGTAGCTGCAGAGCCAGAAGCCTGTCCTGCTCCTCTTGCATACGCCTTTCATAGAACTCCTGCTCAAAGGCTTTCTGCATCTGCAAGTTAAAACAATTAATCTCCTCCTCTTGGTCTTCTAAACATTCCAGCAGAGTTCTTCTTCTCTTATCAAGCACGCACAAGTCAACTGCTGCTTCAGCTGGCAGCTCCAGCAACTTTCTTTTTGGAGTCTCTTGAGAATTTTGCAGTCTTTCTGGTTTTGCTTCATCTGAGTGTCTAGCCACCTCGTTTATGAGATCACATATTACACCTTTGCTGTCAGACATCACAGTATTTGTTGTTGTTTGAATGCAGGTACAAGTTTCAGCAGAATTTTCAAGGTTTATGCTTTCTACATGTGTTAAACTGCCACTGTCTGACTCAATTCCATCATCTTCTCCTACAGATCTGTGAAGAACTGTTCTAGACCCTTCCTCTTTTCTGATTCCATGAAGCGCATCTGGAACTTTGTCTGCTAGACAATACGATCCTGGTGTTTTTTCCTGCTTGACAACAGACGTATCCCCTGAAGCTGAGGCACTTAAAAAGTTCATGCACGATTCCAAAAATGAATCCTTAGCACTGGAATCTTTAATCACATCAGTCAGCTGTGGAGACAGTGTTGGCATTTCCTCTTGCTCATCTTGCCACACGGAACTGCTACCTTCATTGCTATTCGTCTTCTGCAGAAAATGGAGAGACCACTAATAAATTTATCAAAAGTCAATGGCATGAATAAAATGCAAACCTCATTGCTCATAGCTCCACTGCTCACAATTACTCTGGGAAATTAACTTGGATTCTTCTCCTTTAAAAAGATACGTAACCGTTAAATAATAATGAAAATATTTAAAACAACCTACAGAAGTCTAGCTAAGGGACTGAAAACAACTGCAGCATTTTGGTCTTGTCAATGACTCAAACCAACAGTTCAAGCCTGGCCATCTCTTTTGAAGCCTAACAGGAAAGATAAGACAGACATGTGAGATGATGAAAATCAGAATGCAACCTCCTCCAGTGAGCAACAGAACCATCATTTTAGTTTTACACACCCTCAGCTGCAATCCAGAGATCACTGGAGACATTCAGGTAAGGTACTTATAAGGCTATACAAGGTAACTATTGAAGTATTGAAGTAAGCCACAGGTGTGCATCTGTGGATGGGCATGCATGGTTTCTTCCCGTTCCACTTTGAGGAATCACCAATACCAAAGGTATTTCATAAAGGGCAAGAGAAACTGCCCAGCGCTGATGTGCAAGGGGGAATATAGGATCTGCAATCCTACAGGCAAGCAGAAAATAACCCACAATTACTAACACTGACATTTACAACAGAATTATTGTCGTTACCATAGAGCCACAGTCACTCCTGCCTCTTTCTGTTGTTCTAGAGAATGAAGCTGATCCCAACGTATGATGCTTTGGAGACAGATACCTTAAAAGGAAAAAAAATAAAAAGTATACTTTTTAAAACTTTTTTTTTCCTTGAATTGTCAGTCCTTTGCATTAATCAAGATCTTCAGGTTCATTCTGGCAAATAAAAACAACATGCAAAGGGACAAGTGTGTCCCTTCTTCTCCACATTATCCTACAAGATTTTTTTAACATTCAACAATTTACAGTCATCCCAGATTATCCAGTGAAGTTGGATAACAGGATTCCAAGCAAGGAAACGGAGCAGAGAGACACTATACAAAGAAACAGACCAATAACTGAAGAAGAAAAACTTGAATTACTTACTTCTGAATGTCTCTAGAGTTGCTTGATTTGTTCTTCATCTTGGACAAATTAGATGGGGATGTTTCAGATGAGAGGCTGCCTACCGCTGAAGGACTGCTGAGCACATGTCCTTTGGAATCATCATTCTTCAACAAGTAAAAATAGCATTACATAAACTAAAACACAACACAAACTGGAGAAAACCCAGAGAACTACTTTGGTTTTGCTTCAGAATTAGTTACTTTTGTCCAAAGAATTCTAGAACTGTGAGTAACAGATAGCTATGGAAGAAGAAATGTTACATGTTCTGTACTCTTTCCTGTGCCATTAAGAGACGAGAGGTTTTGCCCAAGTAAGTACACTGGTTTCATTAGGGAGCAAAAACCAACCAACCACAACCCCAAAACAAATTAACAACAACAAAAAAAAACCAAACAAAACCACTCAAAACAAAAGGTTAAATTTCATAGTACATTCCTTTTTTCAGTACAGGTTACAGACATCAATTTCTCCCAAAGAAGTACTTTTAAAATCATAGGTAAAAGGAAGTATTCGGAAGAAAATGAATGTTTTAAAATGATTCACAATGAATACATTTAGCACACGTTTCAAGCGTGTAATATGCAGGTAGAAATGTTCTAGGTACTTTGCCCTCCCTCTGGTTCTTCAAAAATTAATGGTCAGTCAAGGTTCTAAAGCACTGGGGGCTGACAACAGCTTCCAACTCCAATTAAAATAAATTTAGATTATTCAAAATTTTAACTTTTGCTCTGAGAAGTCTAAGTTGCTTGCACTATATAAACATTTTCTACTGTCCCCCTTGATCCTAACTCACCAGACTGTTACTCAGCTGCCAAGCCAACTCTTCATCTTGCTTCAGCTGTTTCTCCATTTCCCTCCGTCTCTCCTCTGCCAATCTGTGTTCCTCCTGCTCTTCTGCTAGAAGCCGCTGAATGTATTCCTCACTTGCCTTGTTCTCCTCCTGTTCATGTGCTCGCCTTTCTGCCTCTACCTAAAAAAATGTACTTTTTAATGCATCGTTACTACTGCAGGACTGCACTTTATGCCAGAACCTCAGCTGACGGTCCTGAAATCCGAATGATTTGCTGTTCACAATGACACTCTGCACATTTCAAAGCCGGTGTTTATTTACACAAGCCTCAAAGTGTAAGAATTAGCTCAGTCAGTCGAGCATGGCGCTGACAACGCCAAGGTCATGGGTTCGATTCCCGTTCGGTCCCCATGTGTTGCCTGATCTAGTTGAGAGGTGGCGTCCCTGGAGGCAGGGAGGCTGGATTAAAGTGATCTCTAAGGTTCCTTCCAGCCTAGGCCATTCTATGATTCTATGATACTGTGTATAGAGTCTTTGATGTGATAACACTAACCTACCTTTCTGTTTCTGTACCACTATACCATTAATCTTGCTTGTGTGCAAGGCTAAATTCCATCATTCACCTTTTCAAAATGTTCATAACAAAACCAAGATCGACAAGGACACAGATCCACAGAGAAACTCAGCGTTTGTGAGGCTGAATGCCAGCTACACTACAATGTTTGCTCAACCTGCTTATATGATCGTAATCTCAATATTAGTACAAGATGCCTAAAAACTAGCATCTCTCTCTTCCAGAAGAACCCTTCTGGCTCTCTTGAAACACACAAAACTCAAGGCAGCAGACCAAGAATTTTAAATCTCCCCTCCTGACAGCAGACATCTACTCTTAATAAATCAGTTATCAGGTACAAGGACAGTAAAATACTTCAAAAATTAATAAAGCTTTCTTAACTGGTTAAAGGAATTTTGAAATTTGCTTCAGAGAAGAACGTCAAGGTATAATACTAGACAAGGTATGTTAAGTCTGAGTTTGTTTCAAATCATGTATTTATGTCTCATGATTGGCATCAGACGCCATTACTTATTTCACTGCTTTTGAGCACCATCTCCATGAACTATTGATAACCTAACTGCCATAAAAGAGAATCCCACAGGCTGCTGCTTTACATACTCCCCCTATTCTTCTAACAGCCTGCAACATGGCTGTCAGGGAAAGGAGTATTCTGATATTATTATATTCAACTATAATTCTTACTACTTCTATGTCCTTAAATAGGCAAGCACTAAGATTTCTTTAAAATCTTTTCTGATTTTCAAATGAGCAGGTAACACAGGGAGCGAACAAGTAAGAAAACGCTGTACGTCCATTACTAAGCCTCACCCAATTGTGGTCTGTTACTTAAGGGGTGAAATCAAGAAGGCAAGTATAAGACTAAAGTCCAAACAGTTGCAAATTTTTACACTTGCTAGTCTGAAATACTTCATGTGAATCTGAAGGCCTATAAAATCATTTTAGTATGTGTTGGCAGGGATGCAGACAGTGAAAGATGACACTCTAAACCTGAAAGAACTCTTCTGCAGAGTTTTGTGAAATACAATAGAGAAAAAGGAAATACTAATAGAGACCTGCTTGGATGTTCTGCTGTGCTGGTACCTGTATGTCCTCGCCTCTGAAGCACATATACTTGCAGGGACAACAAAACACCACGTGTTAGGGGACCAACTGAGAGGGTGAGGTAGGAGGTATAGATCAACTAACATAGGAAAAAACTTGAGAAATGTCACCTCATGTCAAGCATGAGAAAGTTCCTCCTCTGCCTTAAAGGATACAAATTTAATTTATGCTTCAGGAATGACCAGTGCATTCTTGCAGCAGCAATACCTTCATAAATTAACTTTTTCATTAAATAACATTACAGCTCTTTGTGGAAACAACTAAAATAACTAGATACAAAACATGGATGTTTTAAACTAGGTTTTTAGACTTACCTTACTGATCTCTGCTTCATACTCCTGCCTCAGCTCTCCAGGCTTGCTTAGCTGGTGTTGTGGACGGGGGACACAGACTAATTGAGAGGAAGGACAGAAGAAAAAAAGTGAGGAACTAAGCAAGATCATGATAGTCAACAATTACAGATTTTAACAAAAGATCACTTTTATACCCTGCCACAACAATTGTTTTGACTTAAATCAAGTGCTGTGGGGAACAAAATGCACTTTCCAACACAAAGGAACAAAATAAAAATGTACTGTCTTATAGAGACGCCAGAACAGTTGTTTTCCAAGCATTGTAAATATAGTAAATAAGCATGCTGACGTCAGCTTACACCTTCTACACTTTGTGACTAAAAAGACTTCATAACACAGCAAATGGAACAACATGTCCTAGAGCAAACTTACCATCAGCCCCCGCCAAAGGAGCTCACAACACAACAAACCCCAAATCCTTTTTCAAAGAGTCAATCAGATTTCACTTATTTTTATTTTGACATCATCACTTTAGGCTCACTCAGGGACTGCTGCACAGACTGAGACCCTGGAATTTCTAACCTAACTAATTAACAGCATCTACGAGTTACAAGAAAATGAACTGCTTCACTCACTTACTTGATAGTGATAAACACAAACATATGCAAATATTTCACTTACAGATTTTACAGCTGAAGCCGCACCAGAAATAAATTACTGTCTTTTCAAGGACAGGCAGCCACACACCAACACTTTGTGCAAAACCCATGAACAAATAACCACTTAAACTATAACACTATATAACTTGCCCTCTACGCTACAAGTTAAAAAGGCATGGAAGCCATTTCTCTGCCTTGCAAACCCTTTCACAGGAGAGCTCTGACACTGCATTTTCTAGCAGTAACACAGCAGTTTCTTATTTCACAATATCCAAAGTCTGCTAACTAACTTCTTTAGTAAAGCAGAGACTTCTCAGGACAAGTGACATTTTACTTACTTTCCTCTTCCAAATCCTGTCCATTAATCCTACGCTCACACTCCTTCGGGTAATTCTTCTGGATCTTTTCCCAGAGTTCCCAGTTGATAACAGTATTTCTGCGGGCATTATATCGTGCCCAAGAAGAGACTCGACGCCGACAGAAAGGGCAACACAGACTGGCCTTTTCAACTGTCAGCTGGAAACAAGAATTACAAAGGGTATGGTTGCACGGCAGCGTCACAGGCTCCACAAAGATCTCCATGCAAATTTGGCAGAGGCAGTCAGATAAAGAAAGGGGAGCCTCCGATTTCTTCGACATACTGACTTCAAGTAGAGGAACAAGACTAGTACAACATCACTACCTGAAAGCAAAAAGAAACATGTATTTTACTTTCCGTAATGAATTGAAAAGAATGTAGAAAATACTCAGTTTAAAAGACATTTTATGAAAAAGTTAGTGGATTTAAGAAGTGGTTACTTTTGCTTGTGATCCAAGAGACACTCAATATCCAGAGGAAGACACAGGTCTTTTCAGAAGTCTTGGAGAAACTATAGTAGGTTTTCCTGCCACAGTTTCCTGGGAGTTGTAACAGGTGGCTTGGGGACAGCAAGGAGGTAGTAAGGAAAAGGGTAGAAAGAAGGTGAGAGTTCTTCCAGGATTTACTCTCTTAGTGATAAACTATGCTTATGTTTGGTGGATATCACAGTTACCTTAACCTTCCCTCCAGTCAATTTTTCAGTCTATGTGTGTCCTTCAAAAGCATCTTCTGGTACAGACTCAGTTCCAGCATGTTCTGAAGGTGAAATACAACATCACTATGTACCAGGGGAGAGGAGGTCTCATTTATTTGATGAGACTAAAAATCCAAAATATTTTTGTTATTATAAGCAAAGAACTAATCAATGTGTTCAACACTTCAGCATCTTCTTGTCTAATTTTAAATAACCTATTGCCAACACTTCTCACAAGGATTTTCCACTCAGCCCTGAAATACCGTGCAACGCAAAACAGACACAAACAACAGAAGGGATAAAACCACTGTTTTTTAAGTTACAGGAATTTAAAGAAGTTCTTACAAGCTTCTTAGAAGCAGCCTGCTTTGCTAAAAACAAGCTGTTTAAAACCAGAGACAGGAGGTCCTTCTGAGCAAAGCAATGCAGTCTCAGTCACACAGGAATACGACATGGAGACAAATATATTTTAAGTTGGGTTTTATTGTTTCTGCTCTCCCTTCGTTGATCAAACCCTTTTACTTTTTTAAAAAAACAGTGCCAGGTAACTTAGAAATATCCAATTTTACAGATAGTTTGTTATTAAGACCCAGGAAGTCCCTCTATACCTGTTCTGGCCGATTTCAGTTTGTACACAGGCAGCAAAAATCGCGCTCAGCAAGTCCCAGAGACGCTCAGAGAAAGAGAGGGCAGGGCAGGGCAGGGCCGGGCCGGGCAGCCCCACGCAAACACC